GAGATCACACCACTGCACTCCAGCCTGGGTAGCAGAGCAAGACTCCATCTAAAAAAAAAGTTAAGTTAGTGCAGTGATTCTCTGAAATGACAAATAACTCATGGTGGTGGTCTGGGGGAAAAAATACAATCTTCCCTTTATTTACTATGCATTTTTATTCAGTAACAATAAAACTGTAAAAAAATCATTTCGATATATAAAATGTGGTTATGTTCTTTTTTAATTACACTTTAGGTTCTGGGGTACAGGTGCAGATCATGCAGGATGGTTGCATAGATACATATATGGCAATGTGGTTTACTGATTCCATCCCTCCGTCATCTATATCTAGCATTTCTCCCCATGTTATCTCTCCCCAACCTCCCTACCCCGCACTGTCCCTCCCCAACCCCCACCAACAGACCCCAGTGTGTGATGCTTCCCTCCTTGTGTCCATGTGTTTTCATTGCTCAACACCCACCTATAAGTGAGAACATGCGGTGTTTGATTTTCTGTTCTTGCGTCAGTTTGCTGAGAATGATGGTTTCCAGATTCATCCATGTCCCTACAAAGGACACAAACTCATTGTTTTTTATGGCTGCATAGTGTTCCATGCTGTATATGTGCCACATTTTCCTTGTCCAGTCAATCATTGATTCAGATACTTACATTCACAGACATCAACAAATCCAAATGGACATCCTGACAAAACAGAGTGAACATCAGCCACAGACAAACTGGCATGGCCATACCAGTACACACCACTTGATAAGGAGCTCCAGAGAGAGACCAGAATGTTGCAAAAACTGCTGAGTAGTCTGGTATGGCTAATGTTAATATACTAACAATAGCTGACACTTAGTGCATGCGATGAGCCAGGTACTGTGCTTTGCATGCTTTATTTATTTATTTGTTTGTTTGTTTGTTTGAGACAGAGTCTCACTCTGACGCCCAGGCTGGAGTGCAATGGCATGATGTCAGCTCACTGCAACCTCTGCGTCCCGAGTCCAAGCAATTCTCTGCCTCAACGTCTTGCGTAGTTGGGATTACAGGTGCCTGCCACTGTGCTCAGCTAATTTTTTTGTATTTTTAGTAGAGACAAGGTTTCACCATGTTGGCCAGGCTGGTCCTGAACTCCTGACCTCGTGATCCACCTGCCTTGGCCTCCCAAAGTGCTGGGATTACAGGCATGAGGCACCACGCCAGGCCTGCATAATTAATCTTATTAAATCCTCCAACCAAACTCTACACAGTAGATACTGTTGCCACCCTCATTTTACAGACAGGAAAATTGGGTTTCAGAGAGAGAAAGTCACTTGCCTAAGGTCATCCAACTCAGAAATATTAGAGCTGGGATTTAAATCTGTACAGGCTGGCTTCAGAACTTACACTCCTAAGTGATAACTGCCTCAGATACCACAGATAACACTGTGGGTTTGTACAAAGAGGTAAAATAAATTGACCTTTCCCTTATACACATTACAGTCTGGATAAGGAAACAAGACTCCCAGCTATGCAACCTTAGGAACATTGCAAAGACTCTCCCACAACAACATGTGACACTTATCCAATGAATGGGACTTAGTGTTTCCCTGAAGCTGAAGTGGTCATGGAAGATGTGGAACTTGAATTTGGTCTTGAGAGGTATGGAACAGTAGAAAGAATATTGCATTATGTTCAGAAGTGCTAGAATCCTTTTGTTAACAGTGTGACCCAAGCCAAATTAATCTTCTTCAGTGTTATCACCTGTAAAATACCTGTAAAATGGGTGATTTGGATTAGACCCATATTTCTTACCAGAAGTATGCCCCAGGAGGTATTTTGGAACTTGTGAGGCTATTTGTGATTGTCAAAATGATCAGGGAGTGGGGGAAACTTACTAGGTGGCTTCTAGGAATAATGATAGGTGTTCTGAATACTATGAAGAATTGTGTTGCTTCCTGCAGGATACAAAAGACCTCTGGATATTCACGGAGATGAAAACTTTGTTTATAATTATTTAAGTCTAGAGCAAGACTATATTTTACATATTGAAAGGAATTTTTTCATGGTTTTCTTGTTACCAAATAAAACTGCCCAGTAAATAAAGGGAAAATTGTGCTTCCTGCTCCCCACCCACGATCATCATCATGAGTTATTTGTCATTTGAGATAATCACTGTACTTACTAATAGCAAATGATTCATGATACTTGAATCATCAATCCTACATCCCAGTGTCATTCTGTGTCAGCAGGCTGTTACATTCGTAATGATTCTCCAGACAGCTGTTGGCCTCTGACTACTTCATGACGCCTTCTGTGTACGAGCTTTTATATATTGAAATACATATCTTTTTATTATAAATGACTTTTTTTCTGTTTTTTCTTTGTAATACAGTTAGGTCATAATATGTGCTTTTAAAACTTTTGCTTACATTTTTATTATAACTTATTGCTATGAATTTTCTTTTCAGGATTGCAAAGGAGAATAATAATTATACAAAAAATAAGGTACTGCTCTGATAGAGTTAAGAACCACTGGATTAGATGATCTCCCAAAGCCTTTCCAGTTTTAATTTTCTTGGGTATAAGAAGGGTTAGATCTTTAGAGAAAAGGGAGAACATTCCAAGGCAAGAACGACACCAGCCACATGGCATGGTCAAGCAGGGGGTGGAGTGTCCCCAGACAAGCCAGGATAAGGCAGAGACTTCTCAGGTCTAGTCTGGTCATGTTCCCTGGAAGCCTGCCTTCACTCCTCCCACCTCACTGTAATTGAAGACTCCTGGGGAAACTGTCAGGGCTGGCATTACAGGAAATTGCCTTGTGGCCAACAGGACTTCTCTGGTTACTTTCCTCGGTGACAGAAGACAGTAACAGCTTCCTGTCTGTTAGCTGGGTGTCTTTGCCTCCTTATTCCGGCGAGTTCCTGAGAAACCTTAGCTTCTGCTTCTTATGGTTTTGTTCAGCTCCTGCTATTGTTTTTTTTCCCCCCTCTCTTATCCAGTTCCCTTGATTCCAGCCTCTTTGCTCCATGCTTGAGGGGGTCTGGAAACTTTTCATCTACTATTGACCAATTTTATAGAACACCCAAACCGACATTGTTTGGAAGTAGGGCAAAGCTCTGAATACATGCCACTTCAACTTTGGCTATATCTGTCAAGTTCTTTCTTTGAAGGGGATGACCTTTATCACTTAATAACATGTATTATTTTTCATTTTTATTAATTATATATGCTTGTTGAAGACTTCTTAGAAAACACAGAAATGTATGGAGAAGGAAATACAAATTATCTATAATACCAAGAAATATAGTACTCAACATTAAACAAGAGTGTCAGCATAAGTGAAGATAAAATTCAATGTTGCTCCCTCAGTTCTCTATTCTATGCCAGCCCCTAGCTTCCTCCTGCCAGAGTACCTCTTGATCTCACCCTTACAAAAATTTGTCTGTCCTATGTACCATAGAATGGAAGGTAAACTGGAAAGTGTGCAATAGCACTTACCATGTCAAAGGCCTATAAGAGATAAAATATATCATATAAGGAAGGTGTTTGGAATCTAAAATAGTAATATTTTGTCATAGCTCTGCCATCACTACCTCATTACCAAGGTGTTGTGATGATAAAGTGTTGTGGGAATGTCTAAAGATATAAGAGACCATCTGAGAAATTCACAGTGCTTTCCAGGAATTAGGAAAAGGCACACAGTACACAGAGGCAAGAATGATTAAGTGTGAGGTCAGCTCATCAATATGCATTTCTCTTTGGAAAAAACATCCAACATTAAACAAATAAGTTGTATGATACTAAATTCATCCCAGAGATAAAGTTCTTCTTAAAGATATTATGTTCTGCTTTTTTCCCAAGGTGCATATGGTCAGATAAGTAGTTTTTCTCATTGTTGAGTCCTTGTATTGAGGTTCTGGTAGACAAAGGACTTAGAGAACACTAAGGCATAAGGGTTAAGGTTAAGACTTTGGAGTTAGTCAGACCTGAGTTCAAATCCTAACTCCATTCATGTGGTCATGGTTTTCGGCCTTGGAAAAACAACATTGAATAAGACAATTAAGTCCCTACTTACATGAAGCTTACATTCCAGTGGGAAAAGACAGAATATCTAATGATGAAAAGGTAATGAAATGATATGATTGAAAGTAACTGGAGACTCAGGAATGGCCTCTCTGAGAATGGACAGTTGAACTGAGACCTAAGTGTTGGAAAGAGGCCAGCAATTTTTTTAAAAATCTAGGAGAAGAGCAATACAGAAAAAATAACAGTGAGGGCAGAGGCCCTGGGGCAGGAACAGGCTTGATGTTTTTAATGAATAGAATGAATGCCCTTCCATGTGACTGAAGCAGAGTGAGCCAGAGAGAAAGGAGATAAGGTTGGTGAGAATCAGCACACATCGGATCATGTGGGGGCCTTGCAGAAATTCAGCTAGTCATCATCACCAAAAATCAGAGAAGAAGGTAAAATGAAGTTGGAGAGCTTGGGGGGTACTGTAAAATACCACCTGAGGAATTTGGATCTGACTAACTGGGCATAGGAATGCCATTATAAGGTTTGAATGGTGAGCTGAAATGGAGGAGAACAATTCTGAGAGCAGAGTACAAGATAGCCATTTTCATTTGTCACTGCATATCTAGCACTTGAATTTCACTCAAGTTATGTGCTACAGCGACTTCTTTACCAATGTGTGCAAATCTGTAAGTCACTGGACACCTGTTTTTGCAGGAATATGTCTAGGGTCTATTTCCAGCCCCCATGTAAAGCTATTCTCTTGTATATTGTGCCTGGAATTTCTACCAGTGAAGAGGTGTCTAAAACAAAGTTCCCCAACTGGCTATTTGATGAGGTATAGACCTGACATAAAAGTGTACTAGCTTACCATGAATTTTTATTTCATTTGACTACTGACAACATCAGATAAGATCATTAAGCCCCTACAGATTTACTTGGTAAAGAAGGTAAGTGTTAGGTTTGCTGGGACAGCATTGCTTCTTGGTTCACATGGTTTATTAACTTTTTCCTTTTTTTAATAGGGAGAGAAGTCTTATGGAAAGCCATGTGGGGGCCAAGACTGCAGTGGGAGCTGTAAGTGCTTTCCTGAGAAAGGAGCGAGAGTAAGTTGCTTATTTCATTGTTGAAAGACATATAGTTGCATGGAGCTGTTAACTGTTATCTTTAGAAATAAAGTGCTTAGAATTTACTCTTATGACTTCATGATACAAGCAAAGTGATGAGGACCAGCTGGAAGGAGCTTTGCTAACTAATGATAGTCAGAGCTAGACCGGTCAAAGTCTCTGAGGGACCAAGAAGAGATTTCCTTCATTCCCAAGGTTTCCTCAGAGTTTCGTCTGGCGTTTTTTTCCAAAAGTCAATTCGGTTATAAAGAGCCAGATTAAGACAATGTTTGTAGATAAGTGTAAATTTTCATAGCTCACTTGATTCTTCCCTCCCACTCTGGAGAACAGGTGTTCTGATTGTTATCTACAGACTGGGGATGTGACTTGTCCAAAATCACTCTGCTTGTTAGTGATAGACTCAAGAGAACAGGGTAGCCATAAGGTATAGAAATATAGGTGACTATACATAAAGAATGGTTTATAAGTATTACATTAAAACCTAGGATATGTTTTAAAATGTTGTGACATGTTCCATGTATTGTCCCTCATTAGCAGTGCACAGTTCAAGTTGTTGTGCAAATTGCAATGAACTCAGTGCATTGGCACAATGTTTCTATCAAGCTCAGAATATGCATAGCTCCTAGATATTTGTATCTATTATTTTCACTGAAAAAAAATGCATTTTAGAATAACCCAGAAAAAGTATTGAAAGGGGTTCAATCTGTATATATATATATATATATATATATACACACACACACTCAAGTTGGTCATCACTAATTCAAAAATCTGAAATCTAAAATGTTTCAAAATACAAAATTTCCTTAGTACTGATGTGACACTCAAAGGAAATGCTCATTGGAGCATTTTGGATTTTGGATTTTTAGACTAGGGATGATCTATTGGGGTGTGTGTGTGTGTGTGTGTGTGTGTGTGTGTGTGTATTTCCAGAATTAATGTCCATCCTATAGAGTTCAGAACTTCCTATTTCTAGCATTGTGAATGCACTCTCATCTCACTCAAACAAGCCTAACGGCTTATACTGTATAAAGAAGATAGTAGCATAAATAGGTCAACCAAATCTTCAAACCCATAGCCAAACAGAGAACACAGTGACCGCTCTACCTTCTCTTTCATTATCTTACATTTGGGGTAAAGTAAAATGTCAAACTATGCCAGAATTTGAAGGAAGAGAATGAAAAGCCATCTTCTCATCAAAAGGGACCAGACCTATTCTATATTAAACACATGGACTTAGAGAATCATAAAATATCAGAAAGGGAAAGTATCTCAGTAACCTTCTCAACTTAATCACTGATTGTACAGAGGAAACTGACAGAAGGAAAATTACTTCCTGGGATCACATAGCAAAGTGATGACAGATTGAAGGTCATTATCTGAGTCCTTTGAATTCTCATCTATTTACTTCACCGACTTACCTACTGCTGCCTCTCACAGAAGCCATGTTCGCTGTAGCCACCAAGATTCATGCCTTCACCTCTGAAACATTCTAGAAAAAAATTCACAATAAATATATGAACACATTATTGAACAATGTACAAGCAGTATAGACAAAGCAAAAGTCTCCCTTGATGCTCTGTCAGTGCCACTATTGTCTTTCTTACCTTTTTCTGTACATAATCAGAGATATGTACATGCATGTCTAAAAATAGTCTCACTATCTGATTTTCTTTTCCAAAATGGAATTATAAGTATATATGCTAGGCCCTGTTTGTAAGCTTAACATGTCCTTAAGATCTTTTTCTCTACCCCATAGTTAATTCAGCCATTCCTCTTTTGACAGCTACTTAGGTTGTTTCTAAATTTTTACTATTTGTAAAATGGCAGTTACAGTGAAAGTCTCTGAGCAGGCCTCCTTGTGCTTAAGCATAGATACATCTCTAGCATAGATAGTAAGGATCATAATTATCAGGTACAAGGGTAATAGACATTTTTAACTTTAAAGCCACTGCCAAATTATGCTACAAAGTATTCTCCAATTTATATTCCCATCAGCATTGTACAAAAATGCCCATGTTTCTATACCTTTGCCAACACTTGGTATTTTTGCTAATATGATGAATCAAAATCAATCTAATTCCCTGAGTTTAAATGTCTTTTCACATATTACCTGGAAATTTGTATTTCTTCTGTGAATTTCCTGGACATATACTCTAGCCACTTTCCTAATTGATGATTCTTATTGACTTACTTTACCTCTGCAAGACACAGCAAATAAAAATGACCCAAATCGATACAAGTGAGATTTGAGGTTTGACACAAAGGGCCATTTCCTGATGGATTGTGGCAGGGTGAGAAACAGTTAGCCAGACCCAACAACCAGGAAACTGAGAAGCTCTGGGCTGTTTGTTAGGTTGGGGAGCCTTTAAAAGTAGAAAATTTTATATATCTGATCTGAGGTCAGTCCTACACCAGGCAAACATGCCTATGGTGACCTCATTGTTAAACCCTTGGCTGAGATTTTGATCTCTGAAAATGGAGGGCGGTAGATTTATTTCATAAGGGCCCCTGATTTAGGTTTCAAACATCTGGAGCTTTAGTCTGGCTTCTCTTTTGAAAACATCTGAGTGGCTGGGGGGCTGGGGGATGGAGGAAATTAGAATATCACTGCATAGACTTTTTTTCCTCAATATTTAAAAGACACAGACTCCACACTGTCAAATACATTCCTAAAAACGTATTTGCAAAGTCTAAATTTTCTAAGAATACTTGTTAAAGTTATTGAATCAGACCAAACCGTATTTCATGAGTCAAGAACAGGAATGTCCTATTTCCCAAATAGATAAGACCGATGCTCAGAAAGCAAACTGTGATCATAGGTGCTTGAAGAACCACCAGGTCCTGTTAAGTCATTCTCCCTTTCCTCTGCATTCCCAGGGCCAAGCAGGATTGTTTAAACTGGCCCCAGCACTATTGACCCCGCAGGACAGCCCTTCAGTACCCCTTGTGTGCAGATGTCAGAAAGATTTGGCACTGTTTTCCTTAGCTGAGCAGAAGGACCCATTTATATTTCAAGCTGTTCCTCTTGAGCTGGGAAGGGAACGGAACATTGGATCACCCCTGAGATATGCTACAGCCCTTGGCAGGCCTGCCTCCTGCCTTGGGGAGACATCAAGCGCATAGCTTGCTGGGCAGTGTGTACTTTTCCTTTGCCAAAGTCCTCTTGAACTGACTAGGACATTTACACAACACCTAACACTCCTGCAAAACTGCAATCTAACCCTTTTTGTCTGAAACTATCTCAAACTGATTTCTCAAAGGTATGTCCTCCCCGGTAAAAGTCCCTACCTAATGTTGGTGCACTGCTTTGCAGTTTCCAAAACATCTTCTTTCAGGGGCTGTAACCTATATGTATGCAACAAATAAAGAAACTGGTAAATGACTTGCCATGGTCACCAGCCTGCTAGTGGCTAAACCTTACTTAGCCAACCTTAGGGTAATGACAGTCTTTAAAAATGACCTGCCTCATAGTGTTAAATAAAGGCATTTCCCACTAGCCATTCAGATTCTAATTTAGTATATGACTTTCACTCTTCTTTTGTAGGAGTAGGTGTTATTATCTTGAAGAACTATTCTTTTGGGTTGTTCTTTTCTCTGGTATTTTTTTCCCTGCCACTTGATTAAACAAAGCATTTTAGGTTGACATTTCCAACACTTCTCTTTTTTTTTCCCTACTAGATCTGAAAGTTATCTCTGCATTATATCCATCAGTGTGTGTTTGTCTGAAGTTGAGGCTGGAAGGAGGGGGCAATTTGTTTCCTTCTGAATCTGGTATTCCTTAATACTCTTTTAGAGTTTTCCCTGTTTTAACATTGTTCTGGTGTTTATATATAACAGGGTGAGCTCCTAATTATCCCTGCCATCTAAAGAAGCATTATCACAGATAACGCAAAACCATCAGAAATGTTTGGATTGCCCTCTAGGTAGAGGCTGTTTGTCCTCCGCTTTATGACTTAGGAAGTTTTGCCCAGCTTGAGAGTTCATGAGGCTAGTCTGAGTTTCATGTGAACTGAAACTGAGCCCAGATTTCTTAATTCCTTATCTCTTCCTTGCATCTTGCTGTTCTACTGCCACAAAATGTGTTTCTCATGAATTCCAGAACCCAGATGTCTTAACAACTAGTCCTTCAATTTACTCTCCTCTTGCAAACATCTGGCATTCCCTGTGTCAGCTGACTGGTGCCATGGCTACCAAGAGACCTTTCCATTTTTTCCTAAATTAGGAAATTGTTATGTACATCTTTCCTCCTCCCTGTGTATCCCCTCATGCCCCTCCCCTGACTAGCCACTACAACACACACCAATGTCTTTATCCTCTACTGCTCCAACATGAAAGCTTATATTGTGTATCACCTCCTTGGGTGGCCAGGCCTTACTCCAGCTGTCTGCACTTAAGTTTTGTGCCTTATTTCATGACAAATATTTGCCCACTCACTCCCCAGCCATCTGTGGGCTGACCTATTGCTGATACTAATCACTGCTAACTTACTTGTTGCCAAATTCAACTGATATTTTTCATTCCTTATCTTCCTTGATGGCCGTGCTATACAAGACACCTGCTTCTCTGTTCCCTTGAATGTTATGCTATGCTTTCCTAGTTATTTTTCTATTATGATTGGGATCCCCCAGCATTCTGTCCTCATCCTGCTTTTCGTCTTAGGGTAGGCATTTCCCAGGGTGGTGTTACATACTCCATGGGTTTCAGCCACCATCCATACAATGATAAACATTAAATCTCTAGCTCAGATCTTTCTTCTTAGTTTCAGATTGCCATTTTCAATTTCTTGTTGGATATCTCTGCTTGGATTTCATTGGCACCATGAACATGTCTACACAGAACTCAATTACTAACCCCCACCAGATGTACTCCTTTCTGAATGCTATCCATGTCTTCCCCATCACAACAAATGGCATCAATAAGCACTGAGCTGCTCCAGCCAGAAACCTGGGAGTCATTCTTGTCTTCTCTTTCCTTTC